ATAAAATGACGCTGACCCATCAATAACATTAAACGGTGCGCGCCAGCCTTGGTACACACAAAAATTACTAAGTGAACGGTTTTATTTTCATAATTTCATAAAAAAAAACGTTTTAAAACAGGGAAATTGTTGCAGTTCTTGGTAAACAATTTACAAATGATGATATTTTTTTTTAACACATCAGAATTACGCCTTAAAAAAAAAACTTTTTAATGCTGACGTCATTATATAGCATTGATGACGTGCACCCATAAAGATTTGGCCTCGAATATATGACAATTCGTCGTTTTTAGTGATGCCGCCGATACGAGAGATTCTCGCCTCTCGTCTCGCCTCGTCTCGACGAGACGAGAGGGCGATTTTCTCTCGAAAAAAAGGCTCGAGACGAGACGAGAGAAGGCTCGAGAATTTCTCGTTTCTCTCGATCTCTCTCGTTCTCTCGATTATTCCGGTAATAAGTAAACAATTTTTTTTACATAAAAATTATAATTTTGTACATAAATGACGATATTTATTTGGACCAATGAGAACATTATTCGCATTTCATAATAAACAAAATTTGTTCCTTGTTAACGTTGTATTATTTTATAACACAAACAACCAAGAAAATAATACTTATAAAATAACAATATTGTAACGTTTTTAACTGTTCGTAGTGTGAATTAAAACACGCACTGGTTAATTAACGAACTAAACTATTTATTTAATAACTTAATTACACTTAAAACACTATAAAACTAACTAAACACTACTAATTATTTATATCACTACTAGTTTATTTATTTGCACTTATATTTATTTATTTCTTCGCGAGTACCAAAGCTCAACTGACTGCTCTGTGCTGCTCCGTTCTTTATATATTTAGCGCCCAAGTCTTCTGGAACATTCCAGCGAGCTCCACACTCTCGATTGTTCGAGCGCTGACTCACCAGCGATGACTCATCGCCGATGAGTCATCATTCCGACATCCACAGCCGCACTAGCTACAATATTTTTTAAAATTTACCCTGTATAAGCAGTGCTTATTAAGCACATCTATGGCACTCCTTATACTATTAAACCCGTAAGCCTCATTCAGAACCTCGTAATTAGTGGAATAAATTAGTGGTTTCAATTAACGTAAAAGTTTGTTTTATGAATATACACAGTGTTGTTCACAACCAAAAAATTAAAGGTAGTATTTTTCAATTAGTGGAAAAAGTTTGCAAACTTCTAAGTTTTACCAATAATTATAATTGGAAAGCGGCTTTGCGCATGTGCGCGGATATTTTATGTCAAAAGCAAAAAGTTTGAAGATTTGCCAGTGAAGGTAGGGTTATATAAATATTATTGTAATGGTTGTACAAAATATTATTTTAATATAATTAATATTGTTTATGTCAGGTTAAGAAAAATGGACAATCTTTTAGCAAATTCCCTTAATTTTAGATGTTAATTTTGCGCATTGTGAATGATCGTTTTGTGTTAATTATAAGTATAATTGAAACCACTAATTTTTTCCACTAATTACGAGGTTCTGAATGAGGCTGTATGCTTAATAAGCATTGCTTATTCAATAAACCTATCAACAACAAGTGGTTTTTGAGGGGCTGATTACAAATTTGATATTCATTTCTTCAAAAAATAAAATGGCTGATCCAAGTATTTAGATATGTATGGGGTCCCTGATTAAGAATTTGACATCCAAACAAAAAACAAAATTGCGGATTCAAAATGACGGACATGCGCAGTAGGTACAAGATGGTTGGATCTATGTGGATGGAATGGAACTACTGCGCCTATATACTAGATGTAACTACTCCACATAGATCCAACTATTTGGTTCAAATGCGCGACATTTTCGGCGTAAAACGTCTTTACTTTATCTTGGCACACATTTTTTTTTTATTTTCTGTTTAAATTTCTATAGAAAAAAATATAAACGAATTCGTATTTCATTCCAAATAATTTTCATACATAGGTACTTTTACCACGAGAGAAACGAGACGAGACGAGAGAAAGGCACTCTCGAGCGAGAAAAGAGTATTCTCGACGAGACGAGAGAAGGACTTTTCTCGTCTCGTCTCGTCTCGCGGCATCACTAGTCGTTTTTGACTAATTTATTTTAAGAGAGTAGGTATATACTATATATGTTTTTTTTTAAACATCCCTTTGTATATTTGAAATAAGTTATTGTATCTTTTGACCCCTTAATATTTTTAAAAAATACAATTGTACATACATAAAATATTTATAAAAAAAATCTACTTACTGAGATATTACACTTCACGGTGGATAGGTTTTTAAATAGCAAATTATGGAACTTAAACTTTTAAATTATAAAACAGCAACACTCTCATCTGCATATAAATTCTAACTCACCTTCAGGAATCACATGCATCTATAATGTCTTATACAGAGGTTTTTGCTTATTTAATATGATTAAAGCGCCATCCGTTGCAAAAAATTTAAAGCAAAAAGAGATTCACGGAGGATAGAATCAATTTTTGTAACACCTACCTAAATGTTTATAAAAAATATTTCTTTTAATTTTTAATAATATTTGATTCGATTGCTTTGGATGTGTTTAATTTACTTAGTGAACTGATATTTTTAGTATGCTTTTACTACCTCAGATATTTGAAAACATATAGGTTAACCTAGAAAGAGTAACAGTCACGGAGGTTAGGTTTTAGACTTTTAAAACATTGTAAAAAATAATGAATTGCGGTTAAAAATGTGAAACCTTAGCTGTAATATTTACTTAATTATGAAAGATCAAAACACAATAAAAGTGTAGGTCAAACTCATTTATTTTTATTAAATATCACGGGGTAACACCATCGTCAGATTCACCCATATATACTTATATTACTATCAGTGGCGTAACTACCACCGGTCCTACCGTTTTCAGAGACAGGGGCCCCGAGCAGAAGGGGGCCCCCAAAATTGGCAAGAGAATTTTTTTTTATCTAAATTTAAGAAAAATGTTCAACAAGAAAAATAATTTTTTTTGTAGTAATAAATATTCGTTGCCTGCTTGATATTATATTTCTATTGTGTTCTTTTTTTCTTTAAATTTTTGCGCTATCTCAGATGAACATGGTTTGATTGAAAACAAATTTAAAATCTAGAACAAAAAATTTGGAATATTTTGAAATAAACGTAGGTTAATTGAAATTTAAAATTACAAATCTAGAATCATAAACTCAAAATCGAATACTTCACATCAAAAGTCTGAAATTTTGAATGGGATATATACATTCTTAGTCAAAAATAGAAATTCAGAGATGAAAAAATGAAAATGAAAAATTTGCAATTTAAAATAAGAAATTTTTTATTTCATATTTACAATTTTTTCAAAATTAAAAATCATTAAAACTTATCTTCGAAGTACCATGGGCCAGGAGCCTTTGAGAAATTTTGGTATTCTGTCCATTGAACACGAAATAGCCAATCGTTTGAGAAATAACTTATATCAAATTATTCACAAGTTTGCTAACTTGAATGAAATGGCGTATTAAATTCTGAATATGAATATCATAACTTCGAAAACTCAAAAATTGTCCATTTTCTTCACTGTTTTTTATTTGAGTTTTATATCAGAAAAATAAAATGTTTTCGTGAATAACACTTAATCCTTTTTTTAAACATTATTTGTATATACATTAGGGTGGAGCGAAATTTTTTTTTCCTTAGCCTGGGGGTGGAATTTGTAGCCTATAAAAAAGGAAAATTTTTGAAAAAAAAAAAATTTTACCCAACGTCTTGAGGTGGCCCACTGATTTTTTAAATTAAATTTAAATTAAAATTCTTTTGAATAAAAAAAAATTTTTTTGGCTTGTAATCTTCAAATTTATCTAAAAATTAACAAATTTGATCGTGTTCAACTCGAAATTCGCTCTATTGCCTCAGAAAAGCATGTTATTATTTTGTAATTTTTTTAAAAACAACAATAATGACCACAAAATTTTTTTTAACTTCATAACTGTTAATTAGCAAGAAAGAGGACACTCTGCAGTTTCCGGAACACTTTTGAAATTTTTTTTTTATTCAAAAGAATTTTAACTTAAATTTAATTTAAAAAATCAGTGGGCCACCTCAAGACGTTGAGTAAAAAATTTTTATTTTAAAAAATTTTCTTTTTTTAAAGGCTTGATTCCACCCCCAGGCTAAGGGAAAAAAAAAATTTTTTCGCTCCACCCTAAAATACATCCCTTTGAAATCATGAGCATTGAATATTATTGTGTAAGGCAGGGGTGGGGTGGAGTAAGTAAAGTTTAAATGACTCAAAAAATTTTCCTAGTAAGGGCCCCCTAGTGAGAATCCGACTGGGGCCCCCATTTCTATAGTTACGCCACTATACTATACAAAACTTTATAAGGTCTCCGATAGTATACTTTTTATTAAAATGGCGTAAATTTGTAAGACTTTTGGTGTGATTATTTTGTTAATTAAATATACACATAAATCCTAAAAAAATAGGTCATAAAATATTTACTTTACTCAATCATTTTCGACTAGCTAAATACCCATTTATTTGTGTTAAACACAAGAGGTTGAGAATCATTACTCTAAATACACAAAAGCAGTTATTCCTAATATACGCAAGCTGTCCCCAATTTACTCTATTTTTTGGTAATCATTCCCAGAACAGTTTTCTCCGTGTTCACTAATAACAATATGACAGAGAAAAGAATCAATTCAAAATCCAACTTAACATCAACAACCACAACAAGAATAAGAAGACTTAGCCAACGGCAAAAGCCACAACATCCCCTCACTGCAATCTTCAGCAGCAAAGAGCGAGCGAAGAAGAGAGGCTCGCCGTTTGGACTTGCAGGTGCACTCACCTGTCGGATCTCCCGAGCGCTCCTCCTCCTCAACAGCCGGTCTCGGCGTTCGCGTGCACATGCATTCCCAGCCGTTGGAGCGGCCCACGGCGTAGCCGCACCGCCGCCGCTGCGGCTACACCAACTCTACTCTCTCTCGCGACCGCGTGTATGTTGTGTGCTGTGTGTGCGGAGTTGGCTTTTTTTATTCTTGACAGCGGCAGCAGCAAGCGGCGAGCCTGCATCCACAGTCTGCCTGTATTCGTCTTCAGGAAGTCGGGCCCGGTGCTCCCAAGTCACTAAGAGTGCTCTCCGCCTTTACGGTCTTCAGTGTTTTCGTGGTCTAAAACAGACTTGAGTTTTTTTGAGAGATAGTTTAAAGTATTTATTTAAAAAAAAATTTACTCTCTTTGACTGTTGTGTTATCCTGTTGCTCGTCTCTGCAGGTGCTACTTCGTCTGGTTGTTATTCTCCATGCTTGGTAAGTTTGTACTGTTATTTTCTTAAAAAAAAAAATTTTTTAGTTTTTAAAATAAACAGCAAATTATAGAATTTCTCGAAATAAGTAGTACAATTTTTAGTATGAAAAAAATATATAAATAATTCTTTTAAAATTACTTAATAACATTTAAAAATAACCTGAATTTTAATGTTTATTTATTTTTTAATACATTACGTAACACTAAAATTTAACATTAAAAAACTTTAAAACTTTACCTTTAATATTATGCTTAAATACTAATTTGCCTTAATAATTTTATACATATTAAACTGTTAAAAAATGTACTGTTTTAAACTATTTAATACATTATAAAAATGTTTGCTTGTTAGGTCTACGGTAATACAATTGGAGATTTTAATGCCTTAAAAATATATGATGATATCTGAGAATATAGGAAATATTTATTTTTGATTTAAGTTTTAGTATTTTATTCGTTTAATGCAATATCGACTATTCTTTTTTGTAATAGTAAAGGACATATTCAAGACAGCATATTATTATAACAATATAAAACTATGAATGCACGCTTTTTGTCTTTTACTATTTTAAAATGCAGTTGTCGGATTTTGCATCTAAACGATTTTTATAACAAAAAATCTTAAATATTTAAAAAAATAAGTTTGTAAAAAAATATACAAAAATTATCATTTAGGTTTTATTAATTTTTTTATAACAAAAAATCTTTTAATTTTGTTTAAAATAACAAACAGTTTGCTAAATATAAGTTAAGTTAGTTTACAAAATTAATTATCCAACATTGTTTTTATTTTTATAAAAAATATTAGCAATATGTAACAAAAAAACAGTGATTGTTAAGTAACAATAGGATTTTTTTTATCTATTTAATAAAACCAAAATAAATATAAATTGAAAAAATTATATAAAATATGTAAATTATAAAAAAAATGTTGGCTACTTAAAACATTTTAAGAAACAAAACAAAAACATATTATTTTTTCGTACCTAATTTAAAAATCGTTATTTTACACAATTTTTTATGCAGGTTTTTAATTTATATATTATAATGTATTTATTATTAATACTTATTTAAGGCAATAAACAATAAAAAAGCTAAACATTTTTATTTAAAATTATGTAAAAAAATAATAATCTACCTAATAGTTGACTTTTCGATTTTTTTATTTTATACAATTTATAATATAATTAGGTATTGCAATGTTTTAAAAAAAATGTAAATCATTTTATTTTTAACCTTAAATCAATATAAGTACACGTTATTAAACCAATTTCAATAAAATTAAAATAAGGGTCAATTATCGAAATAAGCGAGTTCAATGCATTATTACGTATTATTATCATTTAAAACAATTCCAACGCGTAAGGTACCCACTCATATAAAATATTCTTCAATAAACCTTTATCATAAGTCCACGTGCTCTATTATATTCCTTAAATAAAAACCATTGTTCTTCTGATACCCCGATATATTATAGTATTACTATTAAATCTAAAAGAACCAAACACAACAGTAGAGAGAGTGTAATAGCCTCCACAATATACAGTACCATACAATAAGTACAGGTATGTATGTAAGTGTGTGTATGTAATAGACCCAATTAAAAATAAAATGATAAAATGATGTTAAAGACCTTTATCGACGAAATTACGGGTTCAATTACTAACTCACTTTTATAAATTCTTTATTTATCATTTGGATAACCAAACCATACTGCATAAATATACAATGTCATGAGTTTACAAGCCACAGGCGAGTGTTGTCATAGTCATTATAGCTAGTACTATTCTTTAAAGTGCAGAAACCACATGTTAAGTGTTTTTTGGACATTTAACAATGGGTTTTTCAAGTAAAAAATTTTAATTTCTATACAGGTACACTTTTTTGAAATTTGAGTCATCAGAATAATTTCTTGGGACAATTTACGTAAGTGCTTATTAAATAATTACCGAAAAATATGGAGCACTTGCGCCAACCAAGGCCGTCTACTATCGGAAATAATTAAATGCATGTGGACATATACACAGTGTTCTATTATTTTGTAGCAGCAGGAATATTTTTTGGAAAATCATAAAAAATTGTTTGATAAATAGGATTTTATACTATCTATTTTAATTACGAACATAATGGTTTTATAAAAATGTGTGAAAATTATTTTATTTTCTAAATACAAAAGTATTAAATAGTTTCTCAACGCCAATATTTGAAAAGTTTATATGAACATTGTACTGATCTTTTAATTTCGCCGGCAGTAAACTATAACTTAAATTCGGGCACGGACTCCACTGTAAAGTGCTCATAAAACATTTTCTTTACTTTCACTGTGAAAAACTGTCAAATTTCAAGAAATACATTTCGATTTATAACCTTTATAAAATAAAAATTTGACATTTGTCGGTGACACACAGATTCCCCAATGGTTTCATAGATGGCGCTCTATACAAATTTTTTGATTTAAATCATTTTAAGATAATAATAAGTATTTGTCGTAGAAAAAGTATAGTGTGCACCTCGTTTATAAACTTTTCTATACACTCATTAATTTAAGCACTCCCTCGCAAGCTCGCTCGTGTCTAAATTAAATTCCTGTATAAAATGGCATTTATCAAACTTGATATACTAATATACTATTAGTCTTGTTTATGCTTTTTGCTTTAATAGCTTGATGATTGTTCGTACATAATATTATATACGTATATACTAGTGGTAAAATTTTACTGATAAAATTTTTGACTTTTATACGAATGTTTTTTTCTTGGAAATTTTGCAAGTGGGATTAATTTTTAAATTAATGCCACGAGCCACGGAAAAATCTTAAGTAAATAAAAATCAAAAACTTTTTTAGGGAAAATTTTATTACGAGTGGTATTCGGCAAGACTATCTCACGAATATTTTTTTTTTAATTAGAATTAACTGCCGATATTTTTTGACATTTTTATTTTATAATTAGAAACGTCTACATTGACAATTATTTTTCGCATAGCAACCAATTGGTTGGTCGTATAAACGAGTGTTTTTTTTTTTGAAAAAAACACTCGTTTTCTGAAATTTGATTGGTCCATAAAGTAATGAGTGGAATAGTCTTAAATAAATTATTTAATTTATGTTTTATTTCATTATTTTGCCTGTACGATATAACCTAACAAAGTTGTGATCAAAATAATTATACTAATTTCTTTTTTTATTAATCTTAAATTTGCGAGATCTCGCAAAATACCGAGATCTTGCGAGATTACACCTCTTAAATCATGCTATACCAAGATTGTAAATTTTCCTGCAAGATTGCACTCCCTATGTATAATAACCAGTGATGCCCAGTGCCCATGGGCACGTAATCGGTATATACCCGATTTATTAAAATTTGGATAAATAACCAAGGTATGTACTATGTACTATATACCAGTGGTAGGCAGTATTGTAAACTTTGAACTATCAACTATCGATAGTGCTCACCACTGGTACATAGTACATAATAATAATAATAATAATAAACGACTTTATTTGACATACATACTTATACATAAGTATATCAAAATGGCGAAGTTTGATTATAAAAATCAATAAAAATCAATCTTACACTTAACTATAAAATGCATAAGGAATAATATTATACGACAAAAGAAAAAATAAAAGATTTTAGAACACTGTTAATAAATAAATTACCTACCTTGGGTATTTATCAAAATTTTAATAAATCGGGTATATACCGGGTACGTGCCCATCATTATTAATAACAATACTAAACATGTGACCAACCATATTAATATTCCGTTGGGCATTAATTTTTAATTATAATGAATATTAAGGATTGATATTTTATTTTATAGTAACGTGTCATACACAGGTGGTCCCAGAAGTCGCGAACCACCTTGAAGGTCTATGATCTACGTACCCCCACGAATCCCAGAAAATTGTTAAATAAAAACCACGTTCGTTATTTAAAAAGATACCTATATGTTTTTTTTAAATAGCAACATCTTGTACTAATAAATTGGTAGATTCATTCTTAATCATCATGACAACAACAATATTAAAAAATGTCAAATTCGTTAATTTTACTTAAAGGTTATTTATTTTACGTCAGACTTTAAGCGATTTAAAGGGAGTCAGAAACTATTAAAACCATAGATTATGAAGAAAAAATTTTAAAATTAAAACACAGGCTATATGCATTTTTTAAGCATTGTCCAAACAACATGTACATCACAATACTCAGTGGGTACTACTCATTAAAGGAATACATAATTAACCGAAATGCCATGACAAAATCTAATTTTGAATTTTAACTGCCAATCATTGTCTATCAAAAAAAAAAGGCTTTGTTATCTATGATTGTCTATGGTGTGATGTCAACAGATAACAATCAATTAACTAATTCAATTAGTCTAATTGATTGTTGTCATGATCAATTGTTGCACATCATGTCGCCAAACGCATGCGTATTGTTAAAGTTAAAATCAAAAAATGCATTTTTTCATAAGATAAAACATGAATTCCTAATGAATCCATTGTTGAAACATTCTGTTCATTAGACCTAATTTATATAATAAGACCTAAAATAAAATAATTGAAGTATACCTTTTATTTTTAAGTTTAAAAACTCAATATTTATGCTTATATCTTTTTAAATAATGAAGGTAGAATTTTCTGGGATTCCTAGGGGTTTTTAGATCTTCAAGGTGGTTATTTCTCTTTTAATTTTTATATTTATATTTAAAATATTAAAAATATTTAATAAATCCATAATTTATGTAAAATTCAAAAAAAAATTAAAAAAAAATTAATTTTGATACCACAAAAAATCCAAAAAAGGCAATACAAGAATAAAAATTAAAAAAAAAAGAAAAAAGAGACTTGCAAGGTGAAGGACACATTCCGTATGATGTAACACAGTCTGGCAACCATTGTTTATCCGATTCAAATTTGTTTATAGTATAGTATATGTAGACGAATCGGGAGATCGAATGCAAGCAGGACTGCAACAGTCTAAAAATAAATCTA